TGTAGCTCTTTATGGGCTCCCTCACAGCAAGGCAGTGACTTATCTTCCCTTCCAGGTCCTTTTTTATTCCTCCCTGGCTGACTCTTACCTGACTGACATTTTTTCAGTTGCTGCTTCTGCCCAACAAAATCCAGCAAAGTACCTCAGCCAGTCTGCTCATGGTTCAAACACATTTTCCCAACACAGTTAATATCTCTGTGCTGGACAGGCATGAAGTTGAGGAGCACAGCCTGCTCCTAATCCTGCCTCCCTTCTGTCCAAGTGCTGAGTTGCAGTCACCCTGTGAGCTGCAGCCCTGGGTGCTGTGAAAGCTGCCTGGGGGAGTGGAGGGCAGACAAATTATCTAAATGAGCCATTAAAGACAGTTCCTCCAATATGGGATGGTGGTGCATTGACAGGGTGGTGGCAAGGAAGCATATGTTAGGTGTTAGTGTTCTGTTCTGTGGTTGGTGTGGTTGTCATCAAGTTCTGTTTTATCTTAACTTTCCTGAGATGCCAGTAGGCAATAATATCCAACTTCTTTGCTGTCACTGCATTCACACCTACACCAACTTCACTGCTACCCTAAACCACCACATTCTCAATTAAAATAAGTTTCTGTAAGAGCTCAGTGATTAAAAAAAAAAAAATCTTCCCTAAAAATGAGATATCATAGCTAATTTCTAACATCAAGTGAAATTTTCATTTTGATGGGTACATAAGCATAAAAAGAAAGCAAAATTCTTGTTTGGTCTTATGTGAATACTTCCTTATTCAAAGCTGTTATGGTCTCTCTGATAAGCAGAGAGAGTGCAGGCAATTAAAACAAATTTTATAGATATACTTGCAATTGAAACATGTATTGTCATCCCGATCTCATTGATGCATTATGTGTATAAACTGGGGCAAAATCCTTGGCTTGTACTGGGAGTTTGGAGATTTGCAGATGGTGTGAATCACCAGAGACTGCAAGCAGTATTTTTATAGAACTTCAGTTTTATTAGGTGGAAAACACACACAAGTATACTTCTCTCACCAGGAAAAAGCATGGCTAGGGCAGAGGCAGAACAAACTTCCTGCAGTGATTTGCAATGTGGATTCACAGGGAAAATTCCCCAAGACAAAAGGTAATGAACTATCCATTGTCCATTCAATCCCTGGCCTGTTTCTGCAGTAATTATAAAAAATATTGCTAAACATGATGCACTTTTTCTTTCCCCCATAGGGCTTTGCAAGTCAACAGATAACTTGGTGTTTTGGGTTTTTTTTCCTTCAAGTTCCTAAATAAATGTCAGATGGTCCTTATTCTCTGTCTATGAAGCTGTGTACAACATTAATGTTTACTACTAGAAATAAATCTCTCCTTTTTGTGAGAACCAGCCCCTAGCACGTGTTTCCAAATTCTGTTCAGCTTTGTGACCAGGGGCTGCTCATTTTTCTTTGGAACAGTCTGTTTATTGTGTGGCCTTTGCAGAGGTTGGGTTGCTGATGTCCATGCATGTGCATGATTTGTAGTCTTGATTGCCACCCTCCATCAAATTGGATTGGATAGCTGAAAGATAATGAATGCCTTATAAAATACATTCATTTACAGAGGTGAAAAGATGTCATTTCTTATGAAGTGCCCTGCCTGGGATCTATTTCATTTTCTCAAGGTGAGATGAGATGAACTGCTCAGCTCAAGATGCTGCAAGTTATAGTAAAATCAGGTGACTCCCAATGAAGGGGATTGACTGGTATTTGATTTCAAGGTTTTGGAATGTTGAACACTTGTTTTATTAAAATTATATCATATCATATAATATATCATATTATGTTATATTATATGATTAAAGATATATATAATATTTCTAATTATTGAAAAATGCTAACGAAAACTCATAACTGTCTGTTGGCAGTCGGGATACAGTTTTTGGTTATTGGTTAAGGTAACAAAACAATTTTTAGTGGAATTTAATTGCTACATTGTTTTAGGTAAATAATCTTCTAACACATTCTACATGTGTAAAACAACAGGAGTAGAGAATAGAGATAAGAATTGCTTTTCTCTTCTGTGAGGCTTCTCTCTGCCTTTCCTAGGAAATCCTTGGGAAAAATTGTGCCTTGCTTTTCTCTCTGAAGAGAAATGTGGCCCCAGTAAGTGTGGCAGGCTCTGAGGTGAAGCAGCCCCTGAGCAGGTCCAGGTGCTGTCCCAGACATTGAGCAGCTCTGCTCAGCAGATTTGTGGGAATCAGGATCAGCTGCATCCAGCTCAAAAGGGAGCAGGCAGGAGGCTGTTCCTCTGGCTGTGGTCAGAACACTGCAGCTCCCTTGAGAGCACTGTGAAATACTTCATGGATGCAAGTACTTGGTTATTTGGGGTTTGGATGGAAAAATGGCAGCTCCAGCCACTCAACGCCCCATGCCATTAAACTGCCACAGAATGAGAGTTATAATTGAAAGAGGAAGATGTTTCCTAATTAATTATGCAAACTCTGCTGCAGCACAGCCCAGCTGTATTTTCAGTAATATAATATAATCTAATTTGTTGCACAGTTACTCAGTGTGTTTTGAGCAACTGCTAATCTTAAGAATCTACAGTTTTACTCAGTTGTGGCTTTAGATTTGGGACAAACCACATTGTAAGATCTAAAAACAATGAAAAAAACCCCAACACACCCCACTCCCAACAACAAAACAGAAGAAAAGCATGCCCCCAAAATGCTCTGGAGTTTCTTTATATTCCTCTAATTCTGACCCTGCCTACGCTTTATATTTTTCACTGTAACTGAGAAATAAGAAACAGGAATGTGCTTTTTCATAAATTAAAATAGGTATTTTCATGTCATCACTAGACTTCTATTTCTGGAGATTTAACCAAATATAAAAATATTATGGAACTTTTTCTGAAATAAATTGAGGAGGATTTATTTTTGTCAGCCTCCTTCCAGAGAGACATGGAAACTTTTATTGAAGAAACTTTCCTGCACTCATGTGTGCTTGGAACCAGACCTCAGTCTCTTTCAGGTGTAGCAGGAATGTCTCTTAACATTGTCATAACTTGCAGGTTTGTCTGTGAGACTGTTGCATTTACACTTACTGGTTCTGTGAAAACCATGTGCTGAAATACCTGTCAGATGTGTGTCAGTGCACTTAGGTATAATGCAAGCATAACATAAATTATCTGCCAGCAAATAAAGAGTAGGGGTTTGGCTACAGAGTTGGGAATGTTGGTGAAGTTAAAAAATAAAAGGAGGAAAAAAAGAAAAAAAAAGAAAACTATAAGTAAACATAAATATGCAGTATATTTGAGGCTAACCTCTTTTCCATCCTTCCCCCTTTCTGTCAGTGCTGATGTTGATATCAAGTTGCAGAGATACCCAATTCTCTGTGTGTCTGACTCACATGCTCATGTGTAACTCTCTTAGCAGTTGGTCCAGCTGGAGGATATGAAGTCCAAGAAATATTAAATACAGAGGTGTCATGAGCCTTATTCTTCACAAATGTACTGCAAGCCCCTCACAGCTTCTCTTAGTTGCTCTTTTACCACTGCAGATCTAATTCCTAACTTGGAAAGATACTGCATCCGTAGGGAGAAATGCTTCACTTGTAATCACATTTTATAGTTCCCTTTGTGGTTTATTCTGCCACTTTGACTTGTCATAGTTGAATAAATTGAATTCTGTGGAGTGCTCTTGTAAAATGCCACACTTTTGATTTTTAAATGTGTTTCAGTGGGATGAATGCAGCATTAGAGCAGGATGTGGAGCGGTGCTGAAATTCATGGATTGTAGCTCTGGGTTTTATTCTCACCATATTAGTGTGATTCAAGAACAGGCCATTTTCAGGTTTTCTGCTCCTGCCTTCCATCTCTGTTAAATGAATGTGCTTTGGCTATGCAGCAGGTCTGTGCTGACACCCAGTTGGTTTCTTTCTGAACAGCCAGGCTGGAGGCACGCTGTTACACATCAAGGAATGGCTGTTGCACTCATCTACTAATTACCAGACCTGCTGCCTTGTACTTCCATCATCTTTTATTAAGAACAGACACTTTAGGCTGTAAAGTGTCTAAAAAGGAATCACTGTTTTAACATCTGTTTATGTGGTGCCTGTCAGGGAGCTTTCCTTCCTTGGGTGAAGCAAGACAAAAGCAGCAGAAAAGGTATTACTAGAATGCAAACACCAAGTTAAGAATGTGCTTTGAGATCTTTGAATGAAGTGTGCTGAGGATTATTACAGCTGTTTTCTTTCCAAGAAAACAGTCTTCCAAGAAATTCTAGCTCTTCACTAGCACTAACACAAGATCTTCCAAGAAAATGCTATCAAACACTATTATTTTTATAGACAATTTTTCTGCTGTACTTTAAAAGCACCAGTGATTACCAGGATGTCTCAATCCATTTGTTAATGGAGGAAACCAAAGGACCTGAGCAAAAAGCATCTCTCCATTAATGAGGTCAGAAGTAAAGTTCTAAAACCTGCCAGAGTTTAGGAAGGGCATGTTGGCTCTAGAGTGCTTTGCCTTTTGAGGAGTGTGCTTGTTAATGAATAGCAGCTTAATGGTGAAGCTAATACTAATTCAGAAGTAATATTTGAGGTAAATTTAACAACTAATAAAAAAGCTGTTTATGTACTAAACCTGGAACATCGTATCAAATGCATCTCTGCGTTTTAGGCAGCTAATGACTTTTTCCATCAAATTTGGTGACGTATTTGTTTGTAAAGTAGTTTTATATCATGTGGAAATCTGAAAAAAGAAATCTTGCTGATATGAGGGAAGAAATATGGAAAGCAGCAGCACTGAAAAGGCTATAGATATGATTTTGCAGAGTGACAGATTAATGAGTTCTAGGTGTCGTATGTAGGAGTATCCCATGTTTTGTTTTAACTACTTACTTCTAAAGGGAGTGTGTCAGGGAAGCTATTTTTCCATATTTTCCCTGGAAAACAAGGAAGGCAGGCAATGCATCTGAGTAGTGCCTTAAGGAAAATAAGTGTTTGAAGGAGCATTCATTACAGGACTTGAAAAAATTGTTTTTCAGATAATTGCCTTCGATGAGCTTCGGACAGACTTCAAGAACCCCATTGACCAGTGCAACCCGGCCCACGCAGTGAGTACAGCCAGCCTGGGGGCTGGGGCTGCTCCAGAAACAGGGAGCACCGAGCTGTTGGTGAAGGATGAGTGTGGAAATGAATAGGGAGTCTCTTGTGAAGTCAGCTGTGGTTTGGAAAATTGATTTATTGGGCCAGTCTGAGGAAGCCAGATGGCGATTTTCATGTTAATGGCTTTCCTCTTTGCTGAAGGAGGCAGGAAAGTAATTTGGAAATTCAAAAACTGAAGAATGTCATGTGATGCTAGTGCTTTCTTTTTCACCTTTTCATTCTGTGGCAGAAGTTTTCCTTTTTGAAATACTTTGCTTTCTCTGTCTTCAAGCATGGAACAACCACTTTCTCCCATACTGTCTGTATCAATGAGCCAAAAACTTGAAAGAATTTGTTAAGAGCTGCATGCCTGAACCTCTCTGTCCCATGGCAGGCCTCTAGATTCTCCTATGCTTTAGGAATAAATACTATTTTCTGCTGCGTCTGCTATAGGAGAGCATTAAATACTTTGGACTGTAAACTCACCTTTAAATAATGAACCAGAAATGCAGCCTGGATTTAAGCACATCCAAATTCCTCTGTTAATTAAAGCTGTAATCTAGGGTGATTTAGCTGACTACAGCTGCACGTGCCAGTTTGTACCACCAGAACTGAGAGCAGAACTTGGCTCCTCATCACCTCACTGGGAATGACAAGGATTATGACAGGTGCTGAATTAGATCTCTACAGAGTATCAAGTTGTTGAATTGCCTACAAGTGATAACCAGATGCAGTAGCTAGTACTTTGCCATTTAACCTTGTTTCATAACTCAGCTGAGGACATGTACTGCTTAGACCACTGATGATTTTAAGCATAAACTTTATAATCCTAGAATTTTTTTATTTTTTTTTTTACTGTTCACTAACACATAAGCAAAGAATGAGAAGAAAAGAAAGAAATTATATGAAGAAATCCTATAGAGGACATCAGTGAATGTAATCTGGTTTTGAATTTCTTGGAAGTAATCTGATTTTCAATCTACTTTATCTGTTTTTACTTCCTATCTGAGAACTGCACAATGAATTTATATGTACCAAATTCCAGTAAATTGTTCACTTCCTAAAATTTGAGATACTCTATGGAGATTATCACATTTTATTTTAAAATTGTAATGGAATTGATCTCCACGATAAAAAAAAATTAACAAGTCCCATTTGCAGTCATATGAGTCGAGGAATCAAAAAGTGAATCATGAAGTCAAGCACAGCAGAGTGTTCTGTGGTTGGTTCACATACTTGACTTCCATTAAACCTTCTGTGATAATTCAAGCAATAATCTCAGATTGCCTTTTTTCTGCACAGTACACAGGTCAATGCCTTTTATATTGTCATAAAAGGAAGATTTTTTTGCAGGGATTTCTTATATCTTTGGTCAAGTGTATTTTCTTTTTCCCTCTGCACCATTTCTTGTGCCCATATTCCATTTATTTGGTGGGGTAGTTTTCTCTTATTGCACTGTAAGTGTCTGAAGTTTACCCATGTGTCCTCCACAATGTTTTCATGACAGAGGGCAGAGCCTTTTTGTCAAGAGGAGGCTGAATTAAAGACAAATCAGAGGCAAAAACAATGTCAGTACTGAGAATTTAATTCAAATAACCTGGTTTGCTGTCTATTACCTTCAGTTCAGAGACAGACTTGCCACTTCTCCAAGGCCAGCTGCAGTTGGCATCTGTCTTTCCCTCTCCACTTTGGAAGGCAAGGGAGCTTTCTGCAGCTTCTCAGGCACATCCACACACATCCATTCTCATGTTTGCAACTGTGAGTCTAAAATTTCTGACTCTCTTTTAGCTCAGAGACTCCAAAAAGAGGCACAGTATTTTTTCTGGGGCCTATCGAGCTGCCACTGCCTTATTGTCTTTCCAAAATGATACTTTTTTTTAAAAAATGGCTTAAACTTGGGGACGGAAAAGCTAAAAAGACATTTATTTGGAGACTAGAATTAAATCTGCCACAACTTTGAGATTTAAAACATTTGAAAAGCAAAAAGCTTAGGGAGAGTTGGCTTCTCACAGTGTTATAGTACATTACCTGTTTAAAAATGTTCATTGTTTGGAATATTTTTGCCATATCTAAATGAAAATATCAGGTAGTCTTCTGAGGACAGCAAACCCACACTGCCTTTTGCAGTGTAACTAATACTAAGTAGAATCTTTCGCAGTAACTCCAGTCAAGGGGCTATGCAGTGAAATTTGGTTTTGCTGGTGAGCTTCTCATTATGAGCCATTGAAAAGAAAGCCTGGCTTTGATTTGTCTTCTTTCTCTGGATTGAGTTTTTAGAACATTTTTTTGAGTCACAATGCTTAATTACAGTGAATCTCAGTATTTATGAATGCATCTGTTGTTTAAAGTGGCATTTCTAGGCCATTTCAGATATTTTTCAGTAATGTGTATTGTGTTTGTGGGGTGCCCTCGTGGCAGGAAGGAATGATGACTCTGACTCCAGGTTCTCAGAAGGCTAATTTATTATTTTATGATACTATATTATATTAAAGAATACTATACTATACTAAACTAAAGAATACAGAAAGGATACTTACAGAAGTCTAAAAAGACAATAATGAAAACTCGTGACTCTCTGCAGAGTCCTGACACAGCTTGGCACTGGCTGGCCATTGAGTCAAAACAATTTACATGAAACCAATGAAACAAATCACCTGTGGGTAAACAATCTCCAACCACATTCCAAAGGAGCAAAACACAGGAGAAGCAAATGAGATAAAATTGTTTTCTTTTTTCTCTGCGGCTTCTCAGCTTCCCAGCAGAAAAATCCTGGGCAAAGGGATTTTTCAGAAAATATGAATGTGACAAATGTGTTAAATTCTAGTGTCACGTGTTCAGGCACCATCTTAGTGACAGAAGAAGAGCTGCTATGCAAATTTCTTTGTTTTTCCCACTCAGGTTTATCTTGAAGCCAGAGGTTGGGTGCCTGAAAATGCAAGACCAAGTCTCTGTGGCATCAGTTGGTATAACTGGATAGAGCCACAAATGATGACTTAAAAGAGTTGCAGCCTCTGGCTGAAGGCTAACACAGGCTTGAATCCCCAGCTGATATTGTTACACCCAATAACAAATGAGAAATAACTTACTGGGACTTAAAATGGGAAAATCATTGGGTTTGCAAGCAGTGGGTAAGAAGTGAATGCTGTCAATTTAGATTAATAACATGTGCTGCTTCACTGCAGCCATTAATTAAAACATTGACCCCTTGTAATTGTGATATATTGTCTCCATTTGTGACACCAGCTAATCTCCTGCCTTTCCCCCTCTTTCTCTTGCCAGAGGGAGCGGCTGAGGAATATTGAGCGGATTTGCTTCCTCCTGCGAAAGGTGAGCGTGAACCAGCCAAGGATTTGTGAAGTTTATGAGAATTAAAGCCATCCAGTGGCAATGTGCATTTATTTTCTCTTTGATCCTCACACTCTGTTGATGGAAAGCTGGATTCAAATGAGAAGTGAACGTCAGGATGACCTTGTAAGGACAGAGCAAGACAAATTGTAAAAGGTTGACATAACAGAGGATATGGATAAAAACTGAACTTCAGAACATCAGCCCATTTATTTTGGAACGAGCTTTTCCAAGGTGGCAAGTCCTTTTACAGTTGCAGCTGGAGGTTCTTTTATAGTCCTATTAAACTGCTGTTACTGTTGTAGTACAGGCTTTAAAAACACCCTTTCTTTTTGAACACTGGCTTAGTATTTTTATTAGTTACATATCTAATGTTCAAGGTTTCTGGTTGATGGAATAGAAAAGTTGGTAGCTATGTATTTCAGCTTGACACAGGTGAGATGCTGAGTGCCTCAGCTTCTGAGACATCTGAAGGAGCTGATAGATTGTGGGTTACTTATTTGTGGCTTCAAATAGGATTTTTCATAAGCCATTTTTGTTTTTCCTGACTGTGTCCCATTAAAGTAAAAATAATCACGGTTCCAAACTATTTTATTCTGTGTTCAAGTTTCTATACATTGTGTTCTGCAGAGGGGTAACCAAGCCACCTAAATCCTGGATTTTTCCTTTAAAAGGTCACCACTGCAGTGGGGACTGCTGAACACACCCTAATCAAGCTAAGACATAAATTCAGATAGGGTTTTAAGAAACATGATCCTCAGAGGTTTAGGGAAAGCCGTAATCAAGCTAAGACATAAATTCAGATAGGGTTTTAAGAAACATGATCCTTTTTGGGAAAGCCAGTGCTGGGGATTATCACTGCGGGCTGATCCAAAGGCATAACTGTGACTCCCTGCAGAACCTATGGGCTGCCATCCTCTGCTCAGTCAGGACCTGGGTCGTGTCTGTTTGGCACCACTGTGAGTATGTGGCTGCTGGGAGCCACATTTGAGTACTTCCTGAGCCTGGTTAGGCCACTTGGGATACGAAAATAAGGGAAAATACTTATCACCAATCGCTTTCCACTTTATCAAATAGGCAGCCAGCCAGTCTCAAGCTGTGTCCCAGTTTCTTGGACATAAAGCAACTGTTGAGTGGTAATGGTTTAATATATGTGAGCCCTATGGGAATGCCTTGCCTGCATCAATGTTTAATTTTTATTGCACATTGGCCTTGTTGTGAATGGCAAAATGGAGGGTTTTGGCTAATTGCAGACTCTGTATTCATAAGGGATTGGCTTGCTTCTGGTTCACTTAAATGGTTTGTTAATTCAGCCTCTTCTTCAAAGTTCTTTAGGGAGACATTTGTTTTAATTGAGAGATTATATGCAAGAAGAGGAGGGTGCAATAACTACAGAGATTTGTAGCCTTCAAATCTGACAACTGCTAAAAATAGCTGTGTTTTATGTAGCATAGAGGAAAATTGAGAAAAAAACAGTAGAGGATTGAGTGCCAGCTATATTGATACAGGAAAGTAGCTGTTAGGAATCTTCCAGCAAGTACTAAATATATCCTTCAATATTGTGTGGCTTTAGGGTCTGTTTCTATTTTTATGAAACAACAGCATACCTGTTTTGAAGTCAGGAAGTTCTTTTATAGGACATTGAAAACAGTGGTATCTTGCTATTTATGACAGTAGAACTTAATGCTTAAGAGCTGATGTAAATTTGTTGTTTTAAAGAGGTTAGAGGTGGGCTATAAAAGTATGTTCAATTTCATTATACACTGATTTTAGAAGGGGTTCTTGGGAATTGTTAAATATGTCATAGAAATCTGATTCCGGTGAGCAAAGACTTTTTAAAGGATGTTTTTGGGTTTATATCCAAAATACTTGGAGAAGTTTATGGAGAAACTGTGACCAGGTGTGTGATATTTCACCAGATATTATATATACTTATGTAACTTAATTTGCATTTTCCAAAATAGAATAGAGGATGCAACTGTTCTGCAGCCAGGCATTTTCTGATGTTTGGTTTGGGGAAAATGTTTCTGTATCATTAAATCAAGCAGGGTTTGTGTGAAGCAGGTATGTATGGTTCTGGCATGTAGACATGCAGGAACACATGGGTCCTTGTTTCTACAGTGCTGTAGGTTTAAATAAACCTAAATGTTCTGGTTACTGAAGAATGATTGATTCAGCATAAAGAAGCTATGAACATTTTACAGCCACAGTCAGATCTCTCCTGAACCAAAAGAGAAGAAGTCTTCTTTTCTGAGCCCAGCACCATGTGAGGTCCTGTCAGGCTACAGGTGCCTCATTTTATCCAGTGCTGTGGTGTTTTCTGGGATGGATCTGTGTTCCTGTGTCCCTGATCAGGAACATCACAAGTGTTCCTGTATTCCTGTGTTCCTGTGGAATATCCCATCATGTGGACATCAGTTCCATACAAGTGTCAGGTGATTTGCACAGGACACACCAGTGTGAGCAAGTGCTGTGGAGGCTTTTTCCCTCTGAAGTGCCCTTGTTTCCCTAGGGATGTGATTCCATGGCTCACTGCAGTGCTGTCCAGAGCACACAAACCAGTGGTGGGTGGGAGCAGAGCAGTACAGAGCAGCTCAGGCTTCTTGGGCTTATCAGCCCTGCTGAGGGGTGCCTGTGATGTGCCAAGATGTGCCTGTGAAGTCTACCATGACTTTTACAGTCAAATATTTTTGTGGGGCTGTTAAAATATGTTCAGTTACTGATGACAGCCATATTATTTAATTGTAATTGCAGTTGTATTTCAAGAAATCTAGCTAACCAATTGATTCCTTATTTTTTAATTCCTAATTGGTAGTTACATTGACACTAAGGACAATTAGGAATTTCCTAGATTAAAATACAGTCAAATTTATTAATCAAGCACTGCAATATTATTACTTTACCTTGGAGGAAATTGAAATTAAATTTTGATTAGGTTATGCATCATAATTTTTGAATTAATTCAATAAATCCTCACTGGGGAGGAGAGTTGATTGAACTTCTTGCTCAATGAACACATTTCACATTTCAGTTTGCTCATGCCAGACACTGCTCAACAATTTAAGTAATCCTTCTCCAATTATCAGCAGATATTTATTTTTAAAGCCCATTAAGCTAAAATAAGAATGATTTCTGAATATCAGAACTGGAACATTGTCAGGAGGGAGTTGAAGTTGATAAAAGACAGACTTGTACTCATTTTTCTAATGTAGTGCAGCATTTTAGTTAAGTTATGCCTAAAATTCCTAAAACTGCAAGTGTAAGAAAATACTGTACCAGAGCTCAATTCTTTTTCTTTATTTTATTTGGGGTTTTTTGGCTTTTTTTTTTTGGTGGTGTTTTTTTTTGTTGTTGTTGTTTTTTGTTGGGGTTTTTTTTGTTTTGTTTTGGTTTTTTTTTACAAATCCTGAAGGGATGTTTGGTTTTTTTTTTGTTTGTTTGGGTTTTTTTTTGTTTGTTTGGTTGGTTTTTTACAAATCCTGAAGGGATGATGGGAAGAGAGTAAATTCAGCAAGAATTCTAACCACAGGCAAGGTGACATTAATCTCAAAGATGTTCCAGATGAACTTGAACTGTCTTGAAGAATACAAACACACAGACAAAAACCCCTGCAGGGACTGTATTCAAATAACCAAACTCGGCCAGTTCAGCACTCCAGTACTAGCAGTAGTATAGTAGATAGTGAATCAGGAGCTGGGGTGTTTAAAACAAAACAAACCTAAAAACCTATTCACCTAACATTTTTGAAGCAGGTTTTAATGTTTTAGTCAGGTGGCTGGGCAGTGCCAGTGCTTGGTCTGGTCTTGTACCTCTGTCACTGTGGTTTCCAGTGCAGCTGGATCTGCTGTGGTAATGGTGGAAATTTATTCTGTATTCAGTAGTTCTAGTGTTTACAAGGTTCAGTTCTGGTTTTTACCACTTTGCAAGAGTAAAATAAATGTCTATTTTAAATTTATATCTCATTTTATATGTCGTAATACCTGTGATAGTTATGTTTTACTGTATTTACAGGTTTTGGTAAATAACCAAAACCTACAGTACCTCAAAGAGTGATTGTAGAATTGTCATTCCAATCACACTGAGATAGTGTAAATAAAATGTAAAACCTAGTGAGTGTAATACAGAATTCCAGACCGTACAGAGTGTCTGTACGGTTTGTTTTGATCTGTATTCAGTAGTTCTAGTGTTTACAAGGTTCAGTTCTGGTTTTTACCACTTTGCAAGAGTAAAATAAATGTCTATTTTAAATTTATATCTCATTTTATATGTCATAATACCTGTGATAGTTATGTTTTACTGTATTTACAGGTTTTGGTAAATAACCAAAACCTACAGTACCTCAAAGAGTGATTGTAGAATTGTCATTCCAATCACACTGAGATAGTGTAAATAAAATGTAAAACCTAGTGAGTGTAATACAGAATTCCAGACACAGTGTCGGTACAGTTTTATTTTGGTACATTTCAACATTTATATATTCTGTAAAAAAAGTTAAAATTACTCACATGTGTGCAAGTAACAGTAATCCAGAGACATGAGCAAACAGGAGCTTGAAGAGTTTTGGATTAACACCACAGGTTCAGCTGTGGACAGAGCATTGTGAGGATGGAGATAAGGCTTGGTCCTGTGTCTGTGTCATGCCTGTTTGTCAGCAGTGAATGCAGACTCCCAAAGTTTGGACAAAACCCCACAATATGTTCAGTGAAAGATTACTGAACTTGTTGGATCAGCTAACAGGGAAAGTTAGCTTTTAGGCTTTTCCTTAATAGCAGAAGAGGAATATTTGAGTATGGAGGTTCTTTTCCTTTATAGGTCTCTAAATGTTATGTGAAATCAACCTTGTTAAAAAACTCCATCTTTTCTTTTTTACCCTTATCCAGCTGACTTTTTTTTCTCCCATATTTTGGCTGGAGGAGACTGACCAATATGCACTGGAGTAATTACCATAATAAAATTTTAATTTTTTTTTACATGGACCTTGA